CGAGGATATTATTTGAAGTTACAAGTTACTAGAAATTCATCCAACAGTGGTAACCAACACTTTCAGATAGGTTTCTGTGCATATGCGGACCCTGTGAATTGAAGGACGTGCATCAGGGTTCTCATTCCAGCAATCTAACAGCAACGACATTAGGTCTGGATTCATTCCTTCACGATTCTGGATGCTTGGTCGAAAGGTCCCTTTGCCGGTACGAACATTCTCAACCAGTTCTTTGAAAGTACAGTTTTTAATGGTTGAATTATGCAACTTGGATTCGATGATCAAAAATTCAATTTGGTGATCAGTTTTTAAAATGGTAATACTTTCTCAATACCACTTTTATGCTGTTGTGAGAGATATTATCATTATAGCTTTTGACTATATTCTCATTAGAATTTCTTTATATCTGGTTACTGTGTATTGTTGTTTATGATATTGCATTTTAAACATTTGTAACCGAATACAAAACCTTGAATGCGGAATTGTTTCTTTCGTACGTATCGAGAGAGTTCCTAGTATCGCTGGATCAAGTTAGTGCTTTTAATATCCGATGATGGTGCTTAGGTGAAAATAGTACCGGTGATATCGGTCTTATCGGGGAACGGTAACGATCGAAAGAGTATCTCGTACATGATCATTCCAAATCCGTATATATCACCGGCTTGTCTTCTCACCATCGTTTGCTGCACCCAATTCTTTTCTATACCACGACGACGGTTTGACTCACTTGTTCTAAGCATCTCCGGCGCACAATACAGAACACCTTCAAATACCCGATTGATCACTGCAGAAATTATTGTTGATATATCGATACTTTTGATGGCTTTGGGTCGTCATTTTTGGGAGGAATAATGTTAATCTGTGACCAACTAATTAAAGCAATCGCGGTTCAGTGTGAAGGGGTCGTTGTTCCCCAATCGAATTATAAGGAAAAATTTTAAAATCCGAGTAAGTTGGAAAAAACTAAAGAGTTTACTTGAATAAGTTGACGGATTGGTCACAAATGATAGAGGTGATAAATAAATAAGTGGGCGAATGGATTGAACAATTGAAATCTCTCTGTGAAAGACAAGCGCTCAGATATCCTTTAACCAGACTGAACATCAACACAGACTAACTTGTTTTTTGCTGTGATCCACTTTTTTCAATGGTTGAACCCTCATTGTCCTCTCTCAACGCTTCAACTGATATTATGCCCATTTTTTGCCACCTCTCAAGGCTATCCGCAATTCCATAATCGGTTAAACGCACTGCCCAATTCCGGTCGATCAGACATGCCCATGGTGAAAGTGATCCATGACAACCAATTGGTGATGCGTGTAGATATTCTAGTCCCTATAGGACGAAATGTCTCTTATAAGCAGCTCATTCTGGCTACATAAGAAGGTTTATAGATTTGTACGCAAACTCGTAAGATTTTCTGATGTCGAAGAGCCGTAAACCTTTGCAAGTTTTGAAACCCTCTAGAAATCTATCTATATTCAAGCACAATGATATAGATCAAGCAAGCAGTATCTGACAATGAAGGAATGAAACAGAATCAGCGAGTGAACAGGGGCTTGCGTGACAAGTGAATTACAACAATAGGTAGTTGTTGATGAATTCGTAAACACCTTACTAGAGTGATATCACGCGCAAAGGCACCATGGAATTGTGCGTCCAATACGATCTGATGATTATATATGATATCCTGAAAGTATAATATTATCCCTGTCAGCGTTGATATTACTTGCATTTGCAAGTTTCATTCATGATTTAAGCATTCAGGGTGTCAAGTCGATGGGTAAGTTAGTTCAGATAGTTCAGGGTTCATATCAATGCTGGAAAAAGG